AAGTGCATGGCAGGAGATGGCCTATTTTTCTCCCACAGATCAGCCCACAGGTTTGAACTATGTGCTTTAGGATCGCAGTACAAATTCTTACCGCTAGGCCACCAGAGCTCAGAGTTCTTAATAAAGTGTAATGTTTAAATCATACTTATTTTTCACTAGTTAACCTAAACAGAGGCTTTGTAGCATTTTCAATGGATGATTTTTGAAAAGTAGATCGATAGGTCTTCTGAGGGAGTTCTTATGGCCCAGACTGTAGGGGGTTGTGTTGCTGACACAAGGTTCAAATCTATCAGTATCTCCACATGAGAACGATGGACTATCTCCTCCCATATGGTTTATAGCCTCCCAAACCCAATAGTGGGTCAGCTAAAGCTCAGTTCTGATGCAACAGCAATAAGTTTGAGTTGTGTTGAATTTTCTTCTGAGGTGCCTCTGGGTGGACTTGAACTTCCCTCCAATTTTTAGGTTAATCACTTGCTCTACTGAGCAATTCCATCAGATTTACCATATAGACCTCTTTTTACCTAAAGCAAAATACTGATATTATGATATGTAAGCAAAATAAAGTTATGATTATTTCTTCTGTTTGTTGTAGTTGATTCTTTTCCTCTGAGGGATAAAAAGATCACTCGATTTATTATTAATCTCTGTTGGGGGTTTTTTGTGGGTTTTTAAAAATTTTTAATCTGTTTTAAGCAGCTTAAAGCAGTTATACAAGAATTATATTCAAATATATAAAGGACAGACACCTATCAATCAGAATGGAAGTCATTACTGGGAGTTGGGTCCTGTAGATCTTCTTAGCCAGTTATTAACCCCTTAATTTATGAACTATAGGAGGTCTGCATGTATGCAGAGCAGATTATCCGAGAGGCTGGGCTCTATGAGGAGAATTGTGGCATCAGGATTGGTGGAAGATCTATCAACAATCTCCATTATGCAGATGACACAACCTTGCTTGCTGAAACTGAGGAGGACCTCATGCACTTGCTGCGAAGGGTCAAGGACTGCAGCCTTCAGTATGGACTGAGGCTCAACGTCAAGAAGACAAAGATTCTCGCCACTGGACCAATTAGCAGCGTCAGGATGGATGATGAAGAGATTGAGAGTGTTCACAGCTTCACTTTGCTCGGCTCCACAGTTAACACTCTTGGTACCAGCAGTCAGGAAATCAAAAAGCGTATCGCGATGGGAAAGTCTGCCGTTAGGGACCTCTCAAACGTACTCAGGAGCAACAGTGTCTTTCTGGAGACTAAGGTGCGCCTGATACAGGTCATGGTATTTGCAATCGCTTGTTATGCATCAGAGAGTTGGACAATGACTAGGGAGGACAGAAGGAGAGTGGATGCTTTTGAGCTGTGGTGCTGGAGAAGGGTACTGAATGTATCCTGGACTGCCAGGAAAACAAACAGATCCATCTTGGAGAGGATTAAACCAAGCTGCTCCTTGGAGGCAAGGATTCTGGGGCTTCGTCTGACATAGTTTGGACATGTTGCCAGGAGGGACGGGTCCTTGGAGAGGGACATCATGCTTGAGAGGGTGGAGGGACAGCGCAGGAGGGGAAGACCCTCTATGAGATGGATTGATTCGGTGACGGGGGTAATCGGGATGGGTGTGTCGGAGGCGGTGCAGTTGGCGCAGGATAGGGCAGGGTTTAGAGCTGTTGTGCATAGGGTCGCTATGAGTCGGAAACGACTCGATGGCACATAACAACAACAATAGGAGGTCTGGGAAATTCTGAGGAGAAGGAATGAGTGGTAGTAGAGAGCAATGGGCAATCAAACTCAGAGCAGCATCAACTGGTATATTAAGAACAAAGTTAATGCCTTATAGGTGGCAATTGGTGTTTAAAATTTTAGATATGTGAAGTAAAGTGGTGACTCTTACAGTGTGAATAAGCAAAACAAATGAAAAACAATTTCTACTTAGGTCAGTACTCATTCCCTCCAGGTATGTGAATCACCTACACTTTGTTGATGGTTCAAGTGAGCTTCCTTATGAATCATATGAAGTGGCTGGGACGATAACCTCTCAGCAAAGTCTTTACCCTTTCTGAAAGTCCTGTGATTTTAGCATATTGGCAAATTCCTTTTCTTAAAACATTATTCTTCTTTTAAACTAGTAAAAATGAAACAAAATTGAATATATTGGATTGATATTTTTGCTGCACCATCCATTGCTTAATTTAGCAGGTAATTTTTGCTAAGTCTTTAACTTTCCGAGATTCTTTTTCTCCATAGCAAAATGATATATTAGTTTGCAACTCAATGATTTATCCTAATTTAGTAATTTTGTTCTAAGCCTTAGTCTATACTGTGTGCATGTGCTCGAACATATATAAAAGTTGGGTGAGGCTATTATGTGATAAGAGACACAGTTTCTGTTTTAAGCAGCTTAAAACAGTTGTGCAAGAATTATATTCAAATATGTAAGACAGATAGCTAACAATCAGAATGCAAGTCACTACTGAGAGTCAGGTCCTGTAGGTCTTCTTAAGCTTTTACTTCCTGAACTATAGGAGGTCTGGAGATTTCTGAGGAGAAGGAATGGGTGGTAGTAAAGAGCACTGAGCAATCCAACTCAGAGCAGCACTAACTGGTATATTAAAAACAAACAAATAAAAAAGCCTCTCACACTCAATACCATTTGATTTGGTCCCAACTCAGAGCAACTTTCCATTGGATTTCTGAAGCTGTAAATCACGTGGGAAGAGACTGTCCATCTTTCTGCCAAAGAACCAAGGGTGGATTTGAACTGATGGAGAAGCAAGGTTTAGGATTAACTGGCTAGAGATAATACCACCAGAGCTTCCTTAACCTGTACTGCTTCTTGCTGTCAGGTTGGAACTGACAGAAGAAAATATTTGATCAGTTGTCACAAATGTATATAATTGTGTGTACTAGCTGACCATTAACCCTATAAATACATAACCAAAATAAAAGCAGTGCATCCCAAACCTGCTGCCAACCTTTCTATTCCAAATGACAGCAATCCTCCTCTGAGTTTTTTAGGTTGTTAAAAAAAAAAATAAATAAATAAAAATAAATAAATAAATAAAATTGAGTGACTAGTTGATAGTTGACCAGCTTTTCGTTTGGCATCCCTACATACTGTACACTGTGACTCCCTAAAACATAATAAATAAAAGTGCAACGTTGTATTTGGAACTGTGGTGGTCTATCCAGAGAATGTTGTGCTGTTAACAAAAAGGCTTATCATCTCTGGTGGTTCGAATCTACCAGCAACTCCCAGGAAGAAAGATAGGCCATTTTCTCCCATTAATGTAGAATCAACTTATATAGACATTATGTGTTAATTGCTCTCACTCTCATTGCTACCAAATTGCCCAGATCAAGCTCAAGCAGGACAATGAAGGATTCAAAGAATATCAACATGTCACCAAAGGGAGGGAATGGCCTCGCCCACCTGGCTAAAACCACTTTGGAATGTGGAAGACCTTAATTATAAAAACTTGCCCCAACCCGTAGGGTGTGCTTTTCCCCTGGTCAGTCTCTTTCTCCAGACCGAAGAATTCCGTCCTGGAGCCCCCTTGTTGTTGTTGTTACGTGCTGTCGAGTCATTTGCGACTCATAGCGACCCTATGTACAACAGCCCTAAACCGTGCTCTATCCTGTGCCAATCTCATTGCCTCTGACACACCCATCCCGATTACCCCAGTCACTGAATCAGTCCACCTCATAGAGGGTCTTCCCCTCCTGCGCCGTCCCTCCCCTCTACCCAGCATGATGAGCCCCCTTAAAAACCCTTATTAAAGCGGTTTTAAGCTTTCTCTCTTTAAAAAAATACATACATACATACATACCTACATACATACATACATACATACAGCAACTGAATTATAGCTGACCCTTTAGGGGACTGGCTGGCACTAAAAAAACCAAAAAATTCCCTACCTTACATTTAATAATCCTGCCTATTCGCATTGATCATGGTTTCCTATATTCTGCTAGGCACCAATAAGGCCCCTCCAGAAATTACTCTCTGTAATAATTGGATTTTGGTTAGTTACAGAAAATACAACCCCACCAGGCATGGTAGACCTCAACAGACCTCAACCCTTACCCAACTAGGTAAATGCTGGAAAGCAGAGGGAAGGTAGGTAGAGCTAACTTTTAAGAATCTGTGGGTTGCTTGAGAGGGGAGGAGACAACTCGCATGGCTCGCATGGTGTGAGCAAAGGAATGGAAACATGACTAAGCAGGATGTAGGTATGTAGGCAAGAGTCCATCGTTTGCTTGGTTAGATCGGAAGTTTATGCTGTTGCTTGTTAAATAATTGATGAATCAAAGTAGTGGGAGACCTTGGAAAACTGACAAAGACCACAGGAATTCCCTGAGTGCTTAACATACTCTTTGGGTTTAACTTTTTCTATGCTTGCACGGCCTGCAAAGTTTGAACTTCAGAACAAATGAGGGTAAAACTATGCAGAACAGTTTGCACTTGGTGGGTGCTAAATTAATATTAGTTTCTTTTTTGCTCTAAGATGTTGAAAGGATTACTTTAATAAAGGGCGAGGGATTAGGTAAGAGTAGATGTTTAACTCGTGACTAGTTAGACATCCCAATTTAACACTGGCTTTACAGCCCACCTCATTCATCCCTCTGCTCAAGGCCACAGAATAAACCAGTGGCCAAAAAACCCCTCTACGCATGCGTTAGAAGCCGCCCCACCTCCTCGGCGGCGGCTTTCTTTTAACAAAACTAGATCTGAGCCTCGGATCTCCGTAGTTTGCGTAGACTCAAATTTCCCATTGCTCCGGTTACCCTTGTGGAATCCGTGAGGGGTGCAGTTCCTCTGCGCAACCGACGTTACCCGGAGTGAACGGCAGGGTCGTGTGTACGTCCACAGCGTAGAACTCCTAGGCGAACGGGGTGCGGCTGCGCAGGAACCAGAGTGTTCTGTGTACGCAGTTAGCGTAGCGTCCTGTGTGGTGCGCGGGCTTCCGCGACGCAGTTAGCGCAGCTGGCTTTGGTGAATACACGATTTGGTGCAGCCGGGGTTTGGTACCGAGCGGAGAGGAGATGCACACGGCACTCGAGTGTGAGGTAACTATAAAACCCCGATTTGTTTACATTCCCTCCCCCAGAACCGGCCCTAAGCGCGGCGGCGGAGACTGCGAGTCCCGGGACCGCGGGGGTGGGGGTAGAAAGGGCGAAAAGAACTGGGGCACTGGGGTTGGGGACTCGGGTGCTGGGGTTCCCGCTCTCCTGCAGTCGGCGGCGGCGGCGAGCGGGAGCAGAGCGCGCAGTGGACAGCGCGTGGAGCACCGCAGCTCGTGTGCGCTCCCGGCAGCTGCGGGGGCCCGCTGGCCGGGACCCCTAACCCGCGTGCGGGACCCTGCGCTCGGCTCGGCCTCCTGCCGAGGCTGAGCGAGCCGCGTGGTCCGCTTCGGTGGTGGGGGTGTCACCGCTGGGTGGGCGGCGGCGGTTAGGGGGCTGCACGCGGGTGCCAGAGGGTCCGCGGTGGCGTCGCTAGGAAGAGAGGGGAGGCGGTGGACCCCTGGCAGGAGGATCTGCAGCCAGGTCTTCGTGGGGGTCCAAGGAGGCTGCTATTTGTCTCCGATTCTCCCCCTTCCGGTCTGTAATGGGACCGAGTGGAGGGACCCCGAGACTCAGCCTTCCGGCACAGCGGGCTAACGGACGGCCGCCTCCGTGCTGCTACCGCGGGAGGCCTCGGGGGGTTTGTTTTCTTCCCGATCAGCCGAAAAGCTGAGGCGGGGTGCGGAGGAGTCAGCATTACAGCCCGTTGGGTCCCGGGAGCTGGGGGGTTTGGGTGGGGCAGAGTCGGTGGGGGAGGTTGGGTGGGCCCGGAGGTGCCGCAGACGCCGTCCGGGGCTTTGTTCTCGAAAGCCCCTTAGTGCAGACCAGCGAGGAGCTCGGCCAGTGCGTGGAGGGACCGGCTTGGTCCCCTCCCCCGGATTAGGAGCGGGCTGAACTTGGCCGCTTCCTGGGTCCCCCGCCCCCCATGCCTCTTCTGGGAAGGGGGCCTGCGAGAGCGCGGGCGACGTGACGTCCGAGGGCTTCCTGGAGCGACCTGTTCACGTGAGAGCCCGTCCACATGGGCTCCGGTCCACTTGGGCTGCTGTAAATGAGCCCAAAGCACGGAAGAAACAGCCCTGCGGGACCAGCAGCCCTCGTGGAAGGTCCTTTCAGCCCCATTCCTCATTTAAGTAATAAAGAGTGACAGACCAATTACATCAACGTTGGTGGAAAGAACTCTACTGTTTTGTGGTGTTTTTTTTAAACTTTGTTTCAAGGCCTTTGTCATCGATTGCTCCATTTTCACCTTGAAAATCATTTAACCTCATTCTTAATGAAGTAACAAATGACAGAAACTTTAAATTTCACTTGTGGGTTATGTTTCTTGAGATGTGTGTCATAATTAAGAACAAGCAATAAGTTAGAAAAACAGGAGATTTAGAAATTAGCTAATGGTAGCAACGCATTGAAAGCCTAATTCTTGTATTCTGTTTTATATTAGCACTTTGTATTTTACAAGTTTTTGTTGTACTTGACTGTGAGCCAGACACTGAAGTTGGTCTTGCTGGGAAATCCATGTCAACGACTCCACCTCTTTGCGTTTTCCACAATTATATGGCAGTGATAGTGGTGAGGTAAAGAATGATAAGTTCAAGCAGGAGTTTTTAACTTTGTCACATGTATCTCTTCAAAGTGATGGATTTAAACCTACAAAATACATGAGATTACAGTAGAAAATTGTTTGATGCACAAAGATTAAAAAGTAGTATCCCTGTTGATTTAGTAAAGCTTTAATTAAAGGATTTGGGAGAGACAGTCTTAACACAGATCATCTGATGTTTATTGGTAAATTTTAGATTTTATCAGAATAATTAATAGAAATACCTGCTTGGCAGTATAAATCTAAATACTACATTTTACTAATAAGAGCTTGAAGCAATAATGTCCTACTTTGTACTTCCATATAAATTTTACCAGCAATAAGCTTGGTAGACCAGGAAAAAAAAGACAGCTCAGGGAGTCCATTTGGCACCATGGGTAGCCACTGCGCTAACTCACTCACCAGGACAGTTTGAACCTATTAGTCACTAAGAAAAGATTTGGTGATGTGTTTTTTTAAGTATTGCAGCCTCGGGAACTCTGTGGGGCAATTCTACTCCGGCACTGGTGTTAGAAATGACTTCACAAAACAGTGGCAGGTCTAAATGACTAATTGTGAAGTACTCACTGCCTTCCAGTCACTACTAATTGATAACTCATCCTCTAGGGTTTATCCGAGGCTCTAAGTTGCATGAGAAGAGATGGCCTGTCTTTTCTTCTGAGGAGCCCTTGATGGCATCTGAGCTGCCAGAGATACTGCCTTTGGGTTAGCAGTACAACTGCCTGGGGACTAAATGATCTTTAAAGTTGCTAAACTAAGTCAACTCTCAAACCCAACCCATTACCAGCCACTTGATTACTATTCATAGCATGAATGTAGGACAAAGTTGAACTGTCTCAAAGGGTTTTCAAGAAACTGCCATATCTGAGTGGTTTTTGTTTTGTTTTCCCTGTGGACTCACTGGTGGGTTTGAAGTGCTGACCTTTCAGTTAACAGCCAAGCACATTATCACTGTCGCACCTTTGCTCCCTAACACAACTGTAATTTGGTAAAGTAGCTTTAAATTTTATTGATAAAGTACTAGGGACTCCATATTACTGTAATTTTGTTCCATCCACAAATAAAGGAGCTAGCACATTTCAGAAGTTTAAGAAGTATCTTATCCAAATTCTTTATGAGCCCCTTGAATTCTACAGATCCCCTATTGAAACGAGTCCTTTTAATTGATTCATTCCCACCTGAACCCATTTAAAACCTCTGCAAGAATGGCAGGTACCAGTTTAAAAGAAGTGATGAGGAATAGGCCTCTTAAAAGATCTTAAAAGAGAAATGTTACTAAATCTCCCATATTCCACATACAGTATGTATAAACGATGTATAGGTGGCTGAGAGCTAACCTTTTTTGATCACCTGGTTTGCAGTATTTTTTAGAGTCATTAAAGGGTGTTCCGTTGGCATCTATAAAGAGGTGTCCAACGACCACGCCAAGGCTCTGTGGGGGATGTTTGATTTACAGCCTCTGAAACTTGGTTGGTCACAACTCTGGCCATGAGTACTGTTGAGAAGTTGTAAGTTTAGATTGCAAGTTTTGTTTAATTGGTTTATGGAGGTCAATATAGGACTTTGATACTTGATTTTTTTTTTTAATTTAGGTGGTTTATTTTTCATTTCAATGAACATCTACAGAGATTTTGGGATTCCATTCATTCGTTGTTGCACCCTTCTCCCTGCACAAACCCCTCCCCCCCATTTGCTCCTCTCCTTGAAAAGCAAAAGAAAAACTCCCTCATTGGTACACAATCCCCCCCCCCCACCTCCCCAAACCCCTCCCCCTACCCTCAAATATAATCCACTCTGCAACCCTCATTGCATACTCCTACGATAAAAATAATGCCCTAAAATATAATACTTTTAGACTATTCTCTCCCCCATAGACTTCAATGCCGTAAACATATTTCATCCAGTTTTTCTCAGTCTTACCCCCACCCCAATGCCAGCCTCATTCTACAAGAGTGGCACCATGTAGCATTTGTCCCTTTGTGACTGAGATAACCTCACTCAGCATAATGTCCTCCAGGGTCACCCATTTTGAATAATATTGCATGAGTTCCTTGTTTTTCAATGCAGCATAGTATTCCATTGTGCAAATATACCACAGCTTCTCTACCCATTCGTTTGTTGATGGACATTTAGGTTGTTTCCAACTCCTTGCTATTGTAAACAAAGCCGCGATAAACATGGGTATACATATATCTACTTGGATGTCATTTATGGTCTCTTTAGGGTATATTCCCAGTAGTGGAATTGCTGGGTCAAATGGTATCTTTATTTGCAACTTTTTGAGAAAGCGCCACAATGCTTTCCACAGTGGTTGCACCATTTTACACTCCCACCAACAGTGAATAAGGGTTCCAGTCCCTCCACAACCTCGCCAGCATTTGTTGCTTGCTGTTCTGTTAAATTTTGCTAGTCTTACTGGAGTGAGATGATATCTCATGGTTGTCTTGATTTGCATCTCTCTCAGGGCTAGGGATTTTGAACATTTCTTCATGTGCTTGTTGGCCATCTGAATGTCTTCCTTGGTGAAGTGTCTGTTCATATCCTGTGCCCATTTTTCAATTGGATTATTCTCCTTTATCTTGTGGTGCTCGAGTATTTTATAAATTCTGGATATAAGTCTCTTGTCTCACATGTCATTACCAAAAACTTTTTCCCAGTCTGTGGCTTCCCTTTTTACCCTGTTAGAGAAGTTTCTGGATGCGCATAGGGATTTGATTCTTAGAAGGTCCCATTCATCTATTTTATCTTCTCCTGGTTGTAAATTTTTCAGAATACTGGGATTAGGACTAAAGTTTTTCCAAGCTTTTCTTGAATGAAGTTTACAGTCCTTGGTTTTAGTCCTAGGTCCATGATCCACCTTGAGTTGGTTTTTGTATATGGAGTGAGGTGGGGATCTTGTTTAATTCTTCTGCAGATAGTTTTCCAATTTTGCCAACACCATTTGTTAAAAAGGCTGTCATTTCCCCACCTAACTGATTTCATCTCTTTGTCAAAAATCAATTGCCCATAAATAGATGGGCTGATTTCCGGGTTCTCAATTCTATTCCATTGATCTATGTGTCTGTCATTGTACCAGTACCATGCTGTCTTGACTACCACGGCAGTGTAGCTTGATTTTAAAGGGATTCATCTTACTCTACCCTGCCACCATGCCTTCTCTGCCTCCAGTATTGGGAAAAACTCGAGGCTTAATAGAATTAAGGAAACTTTGGTCTACTCAATATATTTACAGGTTTGCCTGCCTTTAGCAAGTTACTTTTGCTCAGTTTTGTGTATAGTATTAAAATTAATAAATTTTTGTAACCTTTAATGAGATCATACCAAAGGACTTCAGTCATTGTGGTTTTGACTCTTTAATGGGAGGGAACGTGACAATCTTTCTCCTGTGGAGCAACTGGTGGATCAT